GAGTCCGCTTTTGCAGCCACTGTGTCAATCTAGCTTGTCCGGCCTTCCTCTCTTTGGGCACCCCTCTGCTTTACCAAGCCTGATGTCCTTCTCCAGGGACTAGAGTTCTGATTGGTGTATTTGTACAACTTTATTTAGTACTCCCATCTACGATCACCCTAATATTTGAAAAGTTTTTCTCTATGTCTTAAAGCAATTTTCCAAATTTATACATTTAAGAAACCACTCATCTCTGAAAGAGCCCTGGTAACACAGGGGTTAAAGGATTCAAAGGCTAATGCTAACCCAAAATGCAGTCATTCAAATACCACGGCCACATTGAGGAAGAGAGAGGTGGCAGTCTGCTTACAGAAAGAAGTACAGCTTTAGAAACCTTATGGGACAGTTCTACTTTGTCTTACAGGGTCACTCCGTGTGAGAACCTGCTCTGTGGGAGCAGGTTGGATTTCCTGTGATTTATCTCTCATAGTTGCCTAGGAGATCTACTTCAATGTCATATCAGTGTCCAATCATTTGGCCTTTCCGGTGACTCTTTAGAGTTTTCCCACAACGGGGTAAGATTATACTTCCAAGGTACAGTTTATTTAAAAACCAGGATGGTCCAGAAAACTAAGGACTTTATGTGCACAGACTTAACACAGTTGCACCATCTCCCAGTCTAGGATGTTGGACATCAAGAGTTAAACATGTCATGTGAATGTGAAAGCAGTAAAGAGACGCTGAGAATTTCATATGCACCCTCACATTCACCACTGGCCATGCTGGGAGAGGACGTTGAAATCACTTAGTCTAGCCTTCTCATTTTACAGATGAGGAAAACCAGGCTAATTGATAGCTAGCGATGCAAAATTATAGCTCTTCAAAAACTAGATAGCAGAGTTAGTAGGCTTCTTAATGTGCTCAATTACTGTATAGATTCCATGAGCTGATGTGTGTGCTGTGACCTTGAGCATTTACATTCTGAGGTTTTCAAATGTTTATTTTTTAATGTGGTATCTGTAATCCAGAGCCCTGCTACCCTTATACCAGCAGACTCTTTGCCAGTTTACCTCCAACTCTGGCCAGTGTACTTCTCCCATACTCAGCCAGGGTTCCCAGGATCCTCAGCATTGGTGGAGTCATGATAGATGTAACCAGGGACACTAGTTCATTCTTGCGAACCTCCTAGGGTCCCCACGATTGGTTGAAATCCTGTCTTCATCTCTTGATACGGCTCCGATGTGCTACTTTGGGGCTAACCCAAGTCTGTTCTATATCCTTCAACCTGTGATTCTTACACCAAGGACGGAAGGGTGGGAAATCCTATCTTCACTCCCTTTACTAAGATCACACATGTCTAATTTTTTTTTTTGTCTAATTTTTTTTTAATGTTCTACTCCTCGATTTGTTTTACTAGCATTCCCATCTTTCTTCCCCTTCCCCACAACTGGAACATGTATACTTCATGACACCAAGGGCCTTGCCTGCACTGTTGTGTCTGCAGCACCAGAACAGCCTGGACAGTAGTAGTTGCTCAATAAACTCATGCCAAATGAGCAGACCCTGCCTTCTTCCCCCACCCCCACCCCATCTTCATGAAGAAGCTGTCCTCCTCCTTTCTAAGGCTCACCCTCCTGGAAGCATGAGAGCTTCCTTGTCCAACCTCACACAACTGACCTCCAGTTCCCTTTCTTGAAATATCACCTCTCTCGTTGCTCTTACTGGTGAATTTGCATCATTGTCCCACCATCCAGCTTCTATTTCTCAAACTCCTGTGCTGGAAAATCCTATCTACCCTTTTCAGAGCCCCTAGTGGCATAGAGGCTTATGAAGCGGAATACTAAGCAAAAGGTCAACAGTTCAAAGCCACCAGTTGCTCCATAGGAAACAGATGAGATTTTCTATTCCCAAAAAGACTGACAGCCTTGGGAAACCACAGGGGCAGTTCTGTGTTGTCCGTGAGAGTCGCTGCGAGCTGACATTGACTTGGTAGCAGTGAGTTCGGTTTGAACTCTCTAATACAAGTCGTCTCCAAGATTGTGGCCTCAATTGCCTTCTCTTGGTATTTTATCTTACTTACAAATGTCATTGACTCACATACAACCAACCTTCACTTCTCTTAGCAGCAAGCCCTACATCTTCATCCTCAGACTCAGATTTACTTCATAGAGAAGAACATCCCAAACCAAACATGTTCCAAGCAGACCTCATCCTTTTGGTGTCAACACTCTGTGCTTCTCGGGTAAAACTTCCTCTTTATCTAGACACCAAGCCTCAGAGTCCTCCTCGCCACCGTTTTCCCATCACCACCGGACAGCTCAGAGGTGTGTGCACCTTACCCGACCCGCCACTTTGGTGATCCTCCTCTGCCAGCAACTCTGCATGTTTCTCAGGCAAACTCAATGGCCCTTTAAAGCCTCTCTTTGTAGCTGCTGAGCCCATTTCTCTCTACTTTGCTAGATGATCTCAGGGTCTTATTTGTTTTTTTTTTGTTTTTTGCCTCTTGAAAGAAGATCATCCTTTTAAGTTTGATTCCCAAGGTCTTTTAAAACTTATTCCCAATCTGGATTCATACTAAGTTTCTTTAGGCATCCATTGGAAGTAAATACGCTTTGTAAAACTTGCCAAGGGTCAGACTCCTCTTTCCCTTAGTCCCTCTCGTAAGGGTTTCAGATTTAATTGCCTTGGGATGAGACCAAGGCCTTAGTGCAGTTTGAAAGATCCCCAATGATTCCAGTGTGCAGCCAGCGTTGTGAATCACTGGTGTGCCCTGGGAGACACTGAAATGAGAATATTCAGAAAGCACACTTTGCCACCAACGCTTTTGTCTGGGCAATTCTCTTTATCAGCAATCCTTTCCCCAGTTTCCTCTTCCTACAGAAACTGAATGAAGACTTCTAGAAGTCTTCCATTTGGAATCGGTCCCTCTGTAGGATCTTCATTGCACAATTTGATGCATCACCCTCTTTTCTGTGAGCTGGACAACAGGGAGAGAGGACTATCTTTGTCCTACTGTCTTGTAAAGTGAACGAAACACATGAAAATCATTGTTATCACTTTATGAGAGACATACCCATGGAACACTGTTTGGGTATAAAGGATTCTATCCTGCTTGGTATAACAGCTACCTATGCCTATGTCACATCCTCCATAAAGGAGCCTGTGCTGCTGTGTATTTTAACACCACATCGTGCTTATGGTAGTGCTAAGTGTCTCAATAGCACATGCGTGAAGGAGTGAGTGAATGAATGATGTGAGTGAATGAATGATGTGATGGGGAAGTAACAGCAAACCCGAGGAAATAGTTTCATTTTCATAGTTCAATACTTAGGATAATATCCCACTGGACTTTCAAGATCCATGCTTTTCAGTCCTAAGTAATATCAATGTCCCTCAATCACCATTCTATAGTTGGTTTTAAATGGTAAGAAATCAAACCAAACCAGTTGCCATCGAGTTGGCTCTGTTTCAGTAGATCTGTGCACAATGAGATTTTCAATTTTTCAATAGATGTTTTTGTTTTTTGTTTCCTCAAGCAGCTCACCAAATTTTTCTTCTAAAGTGCCTCTAGGTGAATCTAAGCCTCAAACCTTTCAGTTAGAAACAAGCACACTGATCATTTGCTCCACACAATCACCAAACCTACTGCCATTGAGCTGATTCCCACTCAAAGCAGCCGAGGGCTGCTCAGCTGCCCCCTAGAGTTTCCAAGAGTGTAAATGTTTAGGGGAGCAGAGGGCCTCGTCCCTCTCCCGGGGAGAAACGGATGGGTGCAAACCTCTAGTTAGTTCAAACTAGCTTGTAGTTAGTAGTTCCACACATAACCACTAAGCCACCAGGGCTTCTTACACCACCCAGGGATTCCACAATAGAAATAGGGGTAGCAACTAGAAAGCAGGTGCATTTAGATTATCATAAGCAAATTCTAGAAATCAAACGTGATGCTCTTCTTGTTAGCTAATGAGGCCCGATGGAAATGGGAGGGAGGGAGGAAGGGAGTGTAGGGTAAGCCCCTGTCCACTCAAAGATCCATGAGACTTTTCTCCTGTCTCCTCCATGACTCCAATAAAACCGGTGGACTTCTTGAAGAGCCCATTTGCTATAATGGCCATCATATTAGTGTAGGCAGATGAGATTGTGCAATAATCCCCATGCCAACTTGGTGTCTATGCTTGTGTGGCGGGATGGGGATTAAAGGAATAGTGAGGTTTTGAAGGTGTGGGAGCATTGAAGTTTATGGTGATGGGAAACTTGGCAGCAGATAATTGATGTTGGTTGCACACGATGATTGATGTATTTGGTGTCACTGATTTGTACATGTGAAAATGATGCATTGGGAAATGTACTCTCTATATTTTATAATGATGAAAAAATATTTTTCACTATTCTTAGTAGCTACCCAAACCACAACCAGTTGCTCTTGAGTTGATTCTCTGTCACGGTGACCCTACAGGACAGAGTAGAACTGCCCCCTAGGGTTTCCAAAGCTGTAAATCTGGGTAGCAGACTGCCTCTTCTTTCTACCATGGAGCAGCTGGTGGGTTTGAACTGATGTTCTTTCTGTGATCAGCCATATACTTAACAAATGTACCACCAAGGCTCATCGTGTAGTTAGAGGTATGATTAATGAAATTCTAAGAAGGAAATCAGACTCAGAAAGGAAGCCGACTGAGCAGCCATGCACTCTTCCCGGAAGCCAGTGACTCAGAGCCTGAGAAACATCGCCGGAGTGCGTTGAAAGGGTTAGTCTACCTTCCAAGAGTGTCTGACTCAGAACAGATACAAGGAAATGCTTCTCATCCCAAGGGATTTCAGCATAATGGAAACGCATTTCCCACAGCAGTAGAACAATTTGTAAATGTAAATCACTTCAAAGAAGCAATTTGGAAAACTGCCCATGCCATGATAAATGTTTTTCAGCCACTCACCTGTCTGGGGTCATATCCTTGTCATTCATTAGTTCTTTAATTTATAGTCGGATTATTAATTCATCTACTTCTCCTTCATTGGCGTATGTCCAGAGGCATTCAAACAGGATTTTGAGCACCAACTCCATGACAAGGACTGCACTACTGTGGCCACAAAGATAAACATGCTCCCCTCTGCCCTCAAAAACCTCATCATCGCCATGTGGAGACAGATTCATAAAGAGCAAATCATGACACTTTATGGTAAGTAGAGCAATAGGCAGAAGCTGTGGCAGTGTAGATGCTACAGGCTGGGCTGTAATCCACACAGTCCGCAGTTTTAAACCACCAGTGGCCCTGAGGGAGAGAATCCGGGCTTTCTACTCATGTAAACGGTAACAGTCTCAGAAACCCACAGGGGCATCGCTAGGAGCTGGCACCGACTCGATGGCAGTCAGTTGGTTTGCTTGTACATAGCAGGAGGTGCCAACTATGATGTGGGGCTGAGAGCAGGGGGCTCAGTGATAGAATTCTTGCCTTCTGTGCAGGAGGACTGGGTTCCATTCCTGGCTAATACACCTCTTGGCCAGCTGTCCATGGAAGCTTGGGTGCTACTGTGACTGGGTAGGTTTCCCTGGAGCGTCCAGACTGAGACAGACCACATAAAATGGACTTATCATCAGCCAATCACAACCTATGGGTCACAACGGCCCAATCCATAACTGATCTTTGGGGCTGATTTAAGGACAGTTAACAACAATAACAAAGAAAGCGGATGTTTACTTAAGTGAACTTGCAGTGGAGAGACGCAAGGCAGGTGAAAGACCGCAGCGATCATTGGAAGGATCAGCACTAGGAGGTGCTTTCCAGGTGGGTGGAACAGTGGGCGCAGAGGCAAGGGGAAAGACATGAGGTGGTGGGAACGTGACCGCGCCCATCCTTGTTGATTTTTCAGCAGTAGAGAGGGAATAGTCAGAGATAGGGCCAAAATGCTAGCGATGGGCAAAGCCTTGGGGAGATCTTGAACATCAAGTAGGCAATTTGGATGCCCTCCTCTAAGAGATGAGGAATTAGTTTATGCTTGATGCAAGAGAATGTTAGGGATACATTCTCAATTTTAAAAGGTCATATTTGCATTTTAAATCACTCCCTAGAAAAAGACATCACCGTTGGTAAAGTGGAGGGCCCAAGAATATGAGGGAAACCCCCCCTAAGATGGACCGACTTGGTGGTTGCCACCAAGACACAAACACACTAGAGCCTGTGAAGAAGATCTAGGACCATATGTTTCTGTTAAACATAAAGTCGAATGAGTTATTGTTGAGTCTATGGGAACTAACAACAGCAACATTTTGAATTTTGGAGAGATGACCTCAAAATGGAAATGGATTAGAGAGGATTTGTGAAGACAGACTAGGGGTTAGGGGAAGGCCAGCGTCCAGGTGCTATAACAGTCTGGAAGAGAGACAATGCAGATCTACACTCGGTTGGCCATAAAAGAAACAATGAACAGGAAACAGAAGCCAGAATTATTCAGGATGCAAAGATGGAGATAATATGACTAGAGGTCATAAGGTGGGGGCGGGGGAGTGGTGAAGGCAGATCCTCAGTATGAGGCTTGTGTTCCGGGGGGTGGGGGCCACTCCTAGAAATAAATAATAGAGGACAGGAATTGGTTTTGAGAACGAGTTGGGGGCATAACTTTTGCCATGACTCAGATCAATGCTCTGCCAGATGGTACTGATTATAGGCACCAGGTCGCACAGTGTCTGTACCTTCTACTGGTAAATAGATGTGTGTGTTTGGGTACAAGTCCCTGGGAAATGGAAACAGTTAATGTGCTTATCTGCTAATCAAAAGGATAGAAGTTTATGTCTACCCAGAAAACCTCAGAAGAAAGGCCGAGTGATCTATATCCATGTGCAAAGCCACCACTGAAACCCCTATGGACCTCAGTTCAACTCTGACACACCTGGGGTAACCATGAGTTGAAGCCAACTCCATGGAAACTGGTCTGTCTGGGCTGAAGCCTGAGCTACAATGCCCGAAGCTCATTAATACAACCATTATGTAAGGACATCCTTGTTAAGACCCCAGGGCTGCTTTCTCAGAACTGGGAGATTCAAAATTATCTTTCTTCCTTTCATTCGGTCAACAAATATTAAGATCCTGCTGGGACTAATGAGTCCTGGTGGCTGCTGTTGACAAGGGCAGCAGTTTGAAATCACCAGCCACTCCCCAGGATAAAGATGAGGCTTTTGATGTCCAAAAATAGTTACAGTCTCAGAAACTCACGTGGCTAGTTCTCCCTGTTCTATAGGGTCACTTGGGTCAGAAGTGACTCAATGGCAGTGCCTCGTTAGAACCTACGCATGGGTACATTCAAGATAAGATATGGTGGGCAGCCTATGTTCCACTAAGAGGCAGTGAATAAGGTGGATAGAGAGCTGGATTTTACTAGTGGTGTGATCATTGGCAACCCTTTTAACCTTTCTGAGGCTCTGCTTTATTGTGTGTACCTAAAATTTACCAGAGTTACTATGCAATTTTGAGTAAAAGTATATAAACTGTCAACAGCGCTGATCACATTATATAAGATCAATTAATGGCAAGGAGTCATTTGATAATTAATTGTGCATATGGTTGTATATACACAAGTAAGCAGACAGCACCACTATACTGACAGGTGTTTTCTAGGACACAGAGGCACAGGGGAGTGTACAGGGAAAGCCCTGAGCCTGTGGGAGCAGGTAGGGAAAGCACCTGCCTCCCCTATAATGGGTCATGAATCAAAATATCAAGAAAGCGAATGAAGAAGGGCCAAAGCTATCCAAGAGATGACACGGTGTGTTTTATTTTGTTGTTGCTTTTAAATTATTTTATTGGGGGTTCTTACAGCTCTTATAATATTACATTTTGGAAATGACAATGGTAACATATGTACAACATATGCTTGATACAATTGATGCATGCTGTGTCTTAAAGGCATCAGATCAACCAATGAAGGACCACCACATTTGGGCAATTGGAAGTCATTCAGCATGGCTTTAGAAGGCAGCAAGCTGTGGAGTGGGGTGTGGAAGCTGGATATCAGGCTGGTGTGGTCCTGAAAGGTCTTCCTGGCCATTAACAGCCATGGTTTTGGTTTGTAGGCGATGAGAGCCATTGAGTCAGATAGCTTTAGTGGGATCATTGAAAATGCACTAATTGTTAGAGCTATATGTTTCAACTTTGTGTATAACAGAACAAAATAATGCCCAGGCTTGCACTGTCTTCAGGGTTGTTCATGTCTTTGAGCCAATGGTTGGACTATTGTGCCAATCCATCTCATTAAGAATTTTCCTCATTTGCAAAAGTTCTGCTTTATCAAGCAACCTGTCTTTTTGTTCTAGAGATTGCTTGGTCTTTACCAATGACATGTCTAAAGTAAGTGAGTCAGAGTCTCACCATCCTCTCTTCCAAAGAGTATTCTTGTACTTATGGTACATTTTATTTATTCATTCTTCTGTTAATCCCTGGCATATTCAATGTTGTTTACCAGTATCACAATTTGAATATCTCTATTCTCCTTTAGTCTACCATGTTCATTGTCCAGCGTTTGCTTCCATATGAGGCTATAGAAAAGATCATTGCAGCTATAGCATCAATCAATCTGGTGCTGAGTGGCACAAATCAATCACGAAGTGATAAATATTTCATGGTCTCACTTTTATAGCAAGGCTAAAGGAGGGATACACCCAGAAATCAACATTTTGGATGTCTACCATAGATGGAAAGAAAGGAGGGGGGATACACTTTCTAGATTGTAGACATTGCTTATTTCTAGTGATAGGAAAGGCTATATCCAGTATGGGTGCAGCCTGCGCAACTGGACAAACTTGACAGTAATCAGTACACAAGAATAGGGGACTGTTCTGGTGAATGCTATAACCTATTCAGTTTTCCAATTGTAACAACAAACAAAAATATGGGTGGGGTTACATGAACAAATAGATATGTGTATAGGAAGGCACATGTGAGTATCTGGGTGTACACACGGAGGTGTATCTGTGCTGCTGCTGTTACGTACTGTTGTGTTGCTCCTGACGCTATATACAACATCATATCATAGGGATATTTATTAGTCGACCCTACATCTTAGAGTAGGCTTTGAGATCTTAAACGTTTTCAAGTGACCTTCAAAGATACAACCTTCAGTCTGTTACTCTTCTGGAGCAAAGGAGGAAAAAGGAAACTACAGGCCCCCAAAGGAAGCTGTTCTCAGAGACAAATAACTCACACACAACATGGTCTCATCTTGCCGCAGCCAAAATGAGTTAGGATGGGGCTACCACCCACAACCATTTCCATCCAGGCCACAAGAGATGGGGCTGGATAGAATGGGAGCAAGATGTAGAGCAAACCTGCAGTTCTAGGGGGTGAGCCAAGGGACCACCAGAGGGGTGGCAACACTTGCTTACCGGAAGCAAGGGTCCCAGACTCTGGACTTTTACACTGTGCTGCCTCTGAAAAACAGAGTTTGGGAGTTTTGTTTGTGTGTGTGTCTGTTTTGTTTTTTAAAGTATAAAGGAGGTAATGTTCAACCTAGCTCCTCAGGGCCAGGTGGAGGCCACCAAGAAGCAAGGAGAATGGAGACCCTTCAGGAAGAAAGCGCAGCCACAGGTGGGACGCTGTAAGTGTGTCGGGCTGCACAGGAAAAGGCAAGCACAGACCTAGCCTATAGACTGAGGAGAGCAAAGCTTCAGAGGCGGTTAGGGCAGAGGCGCAGCAGCCAGTTCTCACAAGAGTCTCCTTTTGCCGTGTAAAAGGTGTCTGGGATTTACCTTGTCAACAGTGAGAGCTGCTGGAGGATTGTGAAAGGGGGTGTTGTCTGCGTTAGCACGCTGCGGATGAGTAAGTGTTTTTTTCTCCTTGAAGAGTTATGAGGAAACCATGGTAATCTAAAGCTCATGTGGGTAGTGTATTAACGGGAAGATTCCAGCCGCCCTAATTCTGAGAAATGCAATGTGTGAGGCTGCTTTGTCTTCGTTATGTAATGTCCAACTTTAAAGTGCATATGAGGCAACTGAAAATACCCCATTGTGGGTCAGAAGTACCTTAGTCCTCAAAGTGACCCTTCCTCTTCAATACTTGAAAGAGGTCTTCGGTAGCAACTTTGCCCCAGGCACTGTGTCCTGTTCTGTCTTGGCTGCTTCCAGGAGCACTGATTGTAGATCCAAGCAAGATGAACTCCATGACAACTTCAACCTTGTCTCCATTCATCC